GTGCGCTAGTCGCGCTCCTGCGCATGGCAGTCTTGGGAGGGCTGGTCTGCTTTTATGGTGGCACCAGTCCTGCGATGAAGCAGGTGAATGCACGGTTGAAGTCGGATTGGGGTGGACAGATGTTGCTGGGCGATGAAGCCTTCGGACTGCCACTACCACAGGTGACCATGAGGAAACTGATCCAAATATCTGCTCCCCTGGCCATGGTCTTTGTCCTTGCCTACATGTTGGCGCTCCTGATGTATATTGCATTGTCTTCGGCTATCGAGGCCGAGGGGGCACTGCATGTGCTGCTGCTGCTGCTGCTTTAGTTTCCATGATTTCTTCCACAAGTGATCACAAAGTCATACTAGGACGACGAGGACAGAGCTGCGCAGCTATGACGGCCGGGACGAGAGGTGTTACGATGACGACGACTGAGAAGACGACCAGCGCATTGTCGCAAGTACTGCCGCGACTATATTGCAAATACCACTGCGACGACGACTACGACGAGAATGACGACGACTACTGCTGTCCCTTGCTGTGCGACCTATCCCTTCTTCTCGGGATCAATTTGCTGCGTCGCTGGCAGTCACGCCAAGAGCACTAGGAACTGGTGCGAAGCCAAGCTAGAGCCAAGCTTACTTGGAGGATCATGGGACTTAGTAAGTAAGGTTATAAGTACCTTAATTGGGGTTATAAGTATAGTTACCCTAATTATAACCCTAGTTACTAAGTCCCATGAGCCTTTAAGTAAGCCACGCAAAGCCAAGGTTGAGCCTGGCCAAGCCATTGAAAAATTGAACCTTCACGACCCCATTCAAGAGAAGCCCGTGAAAAGGAAGGAACCCTAAGACTTTTAGAGAAGGCCTTGAATTGAAAGAACAACCCTTTCTGAAAACAAGTTGGATCTTGCAGAAAGTCTGTACAAGACTGTCCAACATATGACTTTTAGAGAACGGAAGCATTCGTCTGGCGTAAGACTTTGTCTTATCGAAGAGCTGCTACGGCGTTGCTGATTCGAAGAATGTCGCTAAGCGGCGAAGTTGCAACTTTTTCCATGTGGTTCCCCGGACCCCGGCCATCTGAATTGTTCGGCAGAGCACGTGCAAGGTGGTGTGGAGAAGACGAATGTTGTCAATAACAGCACTGAACACTGGTATGCTAGTGTTTGTCCTGCTACAGTACCGACATAATTTTCACAACCACAGCAAGATCCAACAACGACAGCAACAACGCAAAGAGCACTAACACTAAGAGCAGCAATGACTGCGACTGACAGTAGGGACTGCGGTAGCAGCAGCAACAGGCACAGCGCGCGCAGAAGCAATATCAGAAGAAGCAGCAGCAGCAGTAGCAGCAACAGCAGACGCAAAAGCAACAGCCATCCCAGTCGGCAATCGCAGCAACAACAGCACTAATTCAATTGGTCGCAGGGTGGTCCCTGAAGGTGCTCTGCTTGGAGGATCATGGGACTTAGTAAGTTACCTAAATTGGGGTTATAAGTATAGTTACCCTAAGTATAACCCTGGTTACTAAGTCCCATGAGCCTTTGAGTGCCGTACTTGCCCTGACGAGACGTTTTAGAAGCATTTCCCCCGAGCACTGCGGAAACCCTCCACCGCATTACCTAAGCTCCTTTATCTCGGATGGAGGAAGTCACGGACATTGAGTACGAGGTTCTGGAGCTTCTGGGGAAGAAAAAGAAGTGGCAGGCAGCCGAAACGTGTCTTTGCTCCTCGCTCTCCTGCGGCAAGGTCGTTTTCGAGCTGGAGCATGATGACGATGAGGATGATGTTAAAAAGGTTAGAACGGTACCGGGGGAAATGGCCTTCAACATCTTGGGGCCGCTGAGCTGCCTCTACGGCAAGGCCTTTCTCTACGTTCTGGACGTGGGCCTGGACCTGAACACGGTTTACACTCTCGTGGCATCCAGCAACTTCATCTTCGCTGGTGTGCTCACCGCGATCATCTCTCGGACCTTGTTCCATGAGCTCATGCAGGGCCGAACTCCGGCTAGCATACGAGACTCCCTGAAAAAGAGCAGGGAAAGGGGCATAATGCACAAGGACCTGCTGGAAATGCTGAATGAGGAGAAGTCGTTCGAGGGGGCGCTGAGCCTTGCGCTGACATCTTACTCCTTTTTCTTCTGCATCTTGACGCCTGTTCAGGCCATCGTGCAGGCATTGAGCATTACCCTGAGTGCTTACGGCGTGGCCGGTGGTCTCTACGAGCTGATCGACTTGAATCTTATCGAAAAGAGTGCTCCGAGCATGTCGCGGGAGATGCAGTCAGGTTTCTTTTGTGCAGCTGCTGACAGCGACCCGGAGCTGTCTGAGGTTGAGGTTCTCAAGATAGATGAATTTGAGGATCTTGAGACCTGAGACAGTGAGAAGATCTCCTCTGCCGCGGCCTTCTGGTCCGCTCCGAAGCCGGGCGGACTCAGACTTCGGCGGCTGAGCCGCTGGGGGCAGTTTCTGTTCTGATTTCGGGTGTTGGGTTCCCAGGCCTTGGGCTGAGCTCAAGGACTTTGCTTGGAGGTTCATGGGTAGTTATAAGTGGGGTTATAAGTCCCCTAATATGGGTTATAATTATGGTTGCCCTAACTTATAACTACCCATAAACCTCCAAGTGTGACTTGCATATCACGTCACCCGAAGGGCCAATGCTGAGTGAACTGGGAAAGGGTGTGGGCGCGCCCTGTGTATCCTTTTCCGGGCTTCTTGGGGAGTTTCAGAGAACCAAGGACCCTTAATTCATGAGGACCCTAGTTGGGATCCTTATCATGAGGACCCTAGTTTAGGATGAGGACCCTAGTTTAAGGTGCCTCGAATGCCAGGCTCTCACAGCAAGCAGATCTCAGAGATGACGGGATCCAGGCACCGAGGGTCACTGGCGTGCCTTGCTTGGCTTGAAAGTGCAGCGTTTCCAGCATCTACTAGAGTATACTATAATGTAGTACACTACACCATGACATGCTATATCATATTTACTAATGTACTTATTCGAGCACGAATACGAATTCGAATACCACTTCTAATAGGAATTCAGATACGACTACGAATACAAGAAAAATATGTATGCTAATATTAATACTTACAGTCATACCCATACTCATGCTCATACTCGTGCGCATACTCATACTCATCCTAAGTGGTAGACACCAGGTCACTCGGTGCTAAGCCCGAAGTATTACATACAAACACTACTTAAAGGATCATGGGATTTAGTAACTAGGGTTATAATCAGGGTAACTACACTTTTTTTTACCCCAGTTAAGGTAGTTATAACCTTGCGTACTAAGTCCCATAATCCTCCAAATAATACTAACAGCTAACACTGTCTCTACTTTTCCCCACGACAGCCTTGGCGGCCTGGGTTGCCTAAACCGAGACCCTAAACCCTTACTCCTTAAACCCCTAAATCCTAACTTCTCTTACCCTATACCCTAACACCTTAAATGCCTAAATCCCTAAGTCTGAAACCCTTAAATCCCTAAATCCCTAGACCCAAAAAGCCCCTACATCTTAAGCAACGCAGAGAGACCGACTCTGGAGCAGGTTGCATCTGAGCAGCAAGGGCGAGTACTATCCGGGCACGCAGCTGCAGGACAGGGAGCCTGGAAGTTCCAGGCGTTTTTGTTTTGAAGACTTTTTGTTTACATGTGTTGCGTTTTTTTTGAGTTTTACTGTGTAGATTGGAGTTGTAAGCCTTCCAAAAAGCTCAAAGATGCCTTAAGCTGCTTTGCTACGAGGCTTTGCTCTGCTGAAGCCGTCAGCAGCTAACCTGACGGGGACACCGTTGCTGCTGCTGCTGCTGCTGCTGCTGCTGCTGCTGCTGCTGCTGCTGCTGCTGCTGCTTTATGATGACAATGACTTCAATGGTGGTGATCATGTCATGTGCATGATGATGATGGTGATGATGATGATCGAGGGTGACATAGGGTGATGATGTTGATGATGATGCTGATGAAGAGGACTTTCCGACAGATCAATCATTGCAGCGATCGGTTGTTATTTTGCTTATGGTGGCAACGGCGACTGCTGTAGCTGTTGCTGCAGTTTCTACTGTCGCTGCTAAATATAATACCAGCACCGGTATCCGTGCTTTTTGTGTCTTTCCAGGTATCACATAGTGTCACGATTGTAGCTATCCGAAAGCCCCGAAGCTCTACAGATCTATGAACTCTGTCCTCGCAGGAGATGTTCGTCAAGGGCCCTTCTGCAGACAGCGTCTCTAACTGCGTCCTGCAGGCCAAACCCATTGGGGTTTCAGCTGCTGGAACTTCAGGACGTCTCAGGATATTTCGGCTTTCCTTTGGGGTCTGAGTTTTCGGTTTGTGGTTCAGCGTTGCGCAGGAGATTGCCGTGGTAGGCACAGAGGCATGCTTAAAGGCTCATGGGACTTAGTAACTAGGCTTATAATTAGGGTAACTATATTTATATCATAATTAAGGTACTTATAACCTTACTTACTAAGTCCCATGATTCTCCAAGTGGGCATCCGAGCACAGTGGCAGATGGCGGGGATCTTGGTTGTAACGGTTAGGATGACTGGAGCCTCGATAGAAGTTGAGCGTTTTTGGGTCTGAAAAAGTTTTCCGGTCTGTTAGGCTTTGGTGTTGACTGTGGAAGATCCTACGCGTGGGTTAGCTTCCACTCTAGCTCCTCGTGCCTGTCATGACGGCACCGATGTCTGCGGGCAAAGACGCTCCTCAGGTTGTTGTTTCAGGGATCGTCAGGTCCAGGGCAAAGGAGTTTGCGTGCTGAACCCATGTTTGTGGTGAAAGGCCACAAGGCCACCCTCTCCCAAGGCATTCCAGTATCAGTGGCCGACAGGGCCCGTCGCAGGAGTCATCTCCGGTGGGCTATACTGGGCCAGAGAGGATCCGGATGTGGTTCATAAGCGACATGAGACAGGGAACCTAGCGACGTTATGTCCACATGAATCCTGTCACTATGTAGGCCATAGGAAGCCGGGGCTTACCATACTTCCACACAAGAGAAGCTTCCTCCGCCATGGCTATGAGCATGGCCTTGGAAACGGATACTGCCTGCGTTGCAAATATCCTAAAGGAATGCTTCGGCCACGCCGGTGACTTCACGGTGGTCGTGGAAGAGCAGGTCGAAGGCGAGGGCGCGTCGGACGTGAAGCAGACGGAGTTCCAGGTGTGGTCCCCATTGCTGACCAGATGGTCCCCGGTGTTCGACAGGATGATCCAGTCGGAGGGCTTTATGGAGCGCCAGCAGGCTCGGATGGTCATCAACGACTTCTCCGGAAAGGCCGTGGAAGCCTTCCTTCGATTCCTCTATTCTGGGGTGCTGCAGGGCTCTCTGGTTGAGCTTGTGGAAGTTTCTGCTCTCGCGGACAAGTACCAGGTCACAAGACTCCAGGAGCTTTGCAGCCGGGCTTTCGAGAAAGGCTTGGGCCCGGAGAATGCCTGCCAACTCTTCGCCGCTGCCGCGCGCTTCCAGCTACCGGACTTGCGCCGAAGCGCCAAGGAGATGATCTGGATCAAGGCCAAAGAGGCGTTGAAGTCATGCCCGAACCTGAGCCCGGACCTGCTGGAGGAGATTCTCGAGCCTGGGCTCCTCTGCATCAGCAATTCAGAGCTCGAGGTCCTCATGAACGGCTGGCGCGACTCTGGCGACTCTGGGAGAAAGCGCAAGGCCGGCGAAGACCTGACGCTGCTTCAGGCAGTCTTTCAGCGACAAAAGCAACGAATTGCGGAGGAACGTGGATACTTGATAGCTTACCATGGGCAGCCATACGAGAACGACACCATCTACAGCGAGGACATCTTCAGATCCTTATGGACAATGCGTCGACCCGGTGCGCCGTTCTTGGGTCGGGAGGTGAACGTGGTCCTTGGGCGCGAGAGGTATCATATGAATGATGTTTCTCTTGCCCTCTTAGAGAGCCTTGCCGCAAATATCAAACCCGTTCGCATGAGCACCGGCTCTTTGTCATGGATGCTCTTACATCGCTCTGTGTATCTCACCGGCGTCTCTTTCGACATGGACTTGCCGGAAGAAGTTCGCTGCCAGGTCTACTGCTCCGAAGATGGCTCGAGCTGGCATCTGGCTGCTGACTCAGGCGACGCAAAGATCGAAGCCGAGAAGCCACTTCGCCTCCATCAATCGTCGGGCCTTGTAAAGTGGTTCAAGCTCGAGGTTGAGGGCATTTTCTTCAACCGTCTGCGTTTTCGTGGTATCATCAAGGATGATCTGCACTAAGATGCGGTCATCCGCAAAGCAAGAATCTGAGCAGACTTGGCAATCGGGCGCATCAAAGTGAAGCTTGCAGATCTGCAAACCACATAACGTTCGCCCCAGTTTGCAATCCCGATTGATGTAAGGAGTAGCAGCGAACACTTTCACGCGTCTTTCGATGCCCGTTGCATGTCTGGTCCAGCCCGAGTTTCGAGTCTACAGAGGCCAGGGCCAAACCCACCTATTCTGCAGCTCCTACCACTTAGCATCCAAACGTCCCCGAGCCTGCGCAGCATCCGCGGTTTGTAATCCGTGAGCCTTTCGACCACTGGCATGACAGCAGGTGCTGAGCAAGCTTCAGGAGGAGACCGGCAGGAGCGGGCCTGAACTGTGTTTGAAAAGCTGCAGCGTCGGCCGTCCTTGGGGATTTGGACTTGGCTTCAGGCGTGTACCGAAGCCTAAACCCTAAATGCTCAACCCTAAGCCAGCTCCAGCATCGGTTGAAGGTCAATCTCCCAGCAACCTCAGAAGGAGCCAGAGTCGAAGAAGCTCTGAAGACTGCTATGCTGGACCGCCCAAAAGGTATTAATACTAATATTAATACCAATACTATTACTAATATATTATCAGCAGCTCCGAACTCAGGTCAGTGGCATGTCTGCCCAGTACCTCGGTGCTTGTGCCCTGCATCCTGCCGTCAGAAGCGCCAACCCCAAGCCTGCAAAAAAGCGCCGAGGTCCAAAAGCCCCCAATGCCCAACGAGCGCCCGCGAAACTTCTCGAATCCAGGGCCCCGACAATCCGAAAGCTTAGTCACAGTCCACTGTTTTGGGGCCGCAAGAATCGGTCAGGATCAGCGGAGGCGAGTTCGAGGTGGAAGAGGGCGGTGCTCGGGTCTGGCGCCAAATGAACTTTGGTCGTGAGGTCTCGGATTGCCTTGTTAAACAAGATCAGGAGGCTCCTTCGTGCGGAATCTGTCAAGACTCTTAGATTCGAGGTACTTCTAGGTAGGGTGCCGCGGGTTATTGCCGTGCTGGCTTTGGGGGGAATTTGCTTGCCATGTGGGAGTTTCCGAAAATAGGGGACCCGAATATAGCACCTTAAATAGTAGGATCCTTACTATAAGGACCCCCAAATCAGGTACCCCCCAATTTTCGGAAACTCCCATGTCTCTGGTTCAAAGCGCGCCCCGCTCCCCACCGCGTGAAGGATGCCCTGGCCCAGTGAGCTGCTTTATGCATGGCGCTGTTTGCCCGCAGCTTTGGGGGACAGGGACGAGTTCGAAGGGCTGGCTGAGGGCCTTGTGAGACTGGAGGCGCCAACTCAGCCGGCGGAGTTTGATGTGCTGGTGTCCCTTCACAATGCCGTTACCGGAACCGGGAGGGTAGACCTCCCGATGCCTTCGCATGCATCGGCGGCGGAAGTTTGCGATGAAACTCTGCAGGAACTCAACCACGACAGTGCATACAGAGCCGCGGAGCTCTGCCAGCAGTTGCGGCGAGATGGCGCCGCCTCGGATTTCCGTTTCAACCCCGAATACTATCCCGGTCAAGTGCGCTTGATGCAGAACGACCGAGAAGCAAGGCAGGGGGAGATTGAGTTCAAGAAGATACCGTGGCACTTTGACAGAAACAACGGGTACTTGCTTGTCCCGTGTCAGGTACGACAAGCCGCTGCAGAAAGAAGGGGAAACGGTGACTGCTTCTTATTGTATCGTAGCGAAGGACGTGGAGAGAGCCTCGGTGCAAAATTCTCGCTGCCGCCTTCATTGGTGAAGCAGCCAGCAGCAAAACTGACATACACTACCATACTTCTCAAGATCCCGAACACTTGAAGCATACTCGCGACAGCACTGCCTGGTTGTTGTAAACACTGCAAGCCCTGCCGGCGCTGATTCCGCAAATCTTTCCGAGGACTCCTCGAAGAGCTGTTGCCCAGAGAGCTTCGAAGGAAGATGGAAAAGCTGAGCCGCCGACGTTGTCGCGCTGGAAGCGAAAGGCTGCCAGTCGAACAAAAGCATTCAGTTGAATGTGAAGTCGCTGGTTGCCCCGAAGCCTGGATGTCATGGCTGTTTTTTTTGCATGGTACCCTAAACCCTAAACCCCAGGCCCTAAACCCTCCAGGCGCTGGGGCGACACCGCAGCCTTCGCCCGCATCCTCCGCATCCTCGCAGAGTGCGCCCAGCCCGTCACGACGCGGGGTGGCTCCAGTGCAGCCGAGTCTGCCGGCTGGCTGCTGGAGGCCTATCCCCCCAAAATAGGATACCATTAGAGTATATATTTCGTTCTTGAAGGGGCCTTACTGTGTTCAATGCCGGGTGATTGAAGTCTCCAAGTGCTGCTGCCCCGGAGAGTGAGGTGCTTGCCAAAGCAGATTCGATGGGCTCTCCAGAGGAGCTGCTGGACTTTCTCAATGAAGAGTTGGCTTGAGTCAGGCCACAGAAGGCCCAATGTTATATATATATATATATATACTTTATCTCATATATACTATATTTCTATATGTACTGTATATTATACATTACATTTTCTTAAGGAGGCTGCTTGCAAGGCACGAGCCCTCAGCCGAAGCCTTCAGAGTCTCAAGCTTGGCTGACGGGCAATGACGGGCATCATGTCCAATGCGACTGTGCCTTTGAAGCTATTACAAGGTTGCAACATTTGCGGAGGCACAGATTTCAGAAGCCTTTGGCTTGCGACTTCAAGGAGCGGATGTGTTCAAGCCGCACAGGAGTAGTGCACCGAAACCCTAAACGCCTAAACCCTAAACCCCTAAACTGTTCTCCTAGGAGTTTCGGCCCTCGCAAGCTCGCCTTGTCCTGAGGTCCACTTCGTCCTCCCTGTTCCGCCTCGGCCACAGCATTTTAGGCTTTGAAGAATTCCCCGCGGGTTCATGTGTAGTTATAAGTCCGGTTATAAGTAGGGCAACCATAATTATAACCCATATCACGGGACTGTGGGGTTCAAGCTTAGACAGTCTGGTGCTTGGGCCCTTCGTGGGACGTTTCAGGCAGGCATGAGATGAACGCTGTGTGAATGGTGAGCGTTTTGTATATGTCATGCATATATCAGTGTATGTATGTGTATATATATATATATATATCACAAATACATACTCAAAGCTTGTATACGTATAACATGTTGTATGTATTGTATTATATTGTATTATGTTATATTTATTATATCATACTGTATTATATTATATTAGTTTATATGATATATGCATACACAGATAGTATATGTATATGTATGATATGATGCCTGTATGTGTAAGAGGATCTGCCCGAGGCCGTTGTTCGGCCTCGCAGCCTCGAACTTGCCTTCCGTCGGCTTTTGGCTGCCAGCTTTTAGGGCGTAGCTGGGGCTTGTTCCCCTCCCTCCGCGCCCTCCACGCAGAAATGAAGTGCCGGGGCCTTGCAGCAGACAGCCGAAGGGAAGAAGTCGCAGCAAGAGGAATATGTCAGATGTAGTGAATGACAGTCGCAAGAATCGTGCCTCTAGTCATACTGGCACTTAGCCCTTGTTCGCGGTTCCTACGGGCATCTTGGAATCCACAGCTGCGTGGGTCAACCGCCACCATCTGTTGTCCGTCTCGGTCTTCGCGGTTGGATGCTCTACATCATTTACAAGGAGTTGCACATCTCCCTGTTTACATTCCGGTAATTGCCATGTTCGCATTGCTATTGTTGCGTGCTTTTCTCTTCCAGTTACTTGCACGTGTCTTCTGCTCGCGATTCGTAGGTGCCAGTAGCAGATTAGCAGGACTTCCAATTCGATTTTGCTGCAGGATTAGACTAACACTAGCCCCTAGTATCAATAACAAAACAAGCTCTACTGACCAACAGTTACGGTAATAATGAGCACAGGAAGAATAACCAGGGTATGAAGACATAAGCCCTAAACTCTAATCACCCTAAGCCCTAAACACCCTAAACCCTCACCCCTAAACACCCTAAACCCTCACCCCTAAACACCCCAAACCCTCACCCCTAAACACCCCAAACCCTACACCCCAAATCCAACAACGTAGTCTCGGATCGAAGGCGCGGCGGCGCTCCTGGCCGCCCTGGCCTTCTCGGCCCGGCTCTGAAGTGAAGTGAATTTTACTTCTCCTTCCGCTTCTTCTTGTTGTTACTGCCGTATATTACTAGCTAGCACTAGTCTTTGTTGTTACTTTGACTGTTATTATAATCCTGGGCATGATCGTTGTCACTGATATCGTTGTCGCCGATAAGATGATTACGCGTATTATTCTTACTATCCCTCTTCTTCGTGTTCTTATGATTGTATGGGTCATATTGCCATTCGTATTAGAACAGCTTGAGACCTTAATGAGTTCCAGCTCGAGGGTTCAGGGTTTATCTGAGTCGAGGGTTGAGAATGTGTGTTTGGGGGGCTTTCGGGAGTTTCCGAAAATAGGGGTACCTTATTTTGGGGTCGTTATAATATGGAACTATATTAGGATCCCCGATTTTCGGCAGCTCCCATCTCAGAGTAATTATGGCAACCATGATAATAGTAGGAACAGTAGCAGTAACAAAGAATAGTAATAGTAGCGTTCAGGGTTTGTCTAGGGTTTCTGTAGAGGGCCGGTGCTTCTTCATGTGGTATTCATAGGGCAGCTACAGCATAGTGGGGGTCGGAGCAATTCCTGGTATCTCGTTATGGTCACTGTATCACTGTAGTATACTATGCTGCAAAAGTCTCGGTTCGAGTCATGATGTCCCTCATTTAGTTAAAAGCATAAGCTGTCGAACCCCATGCTATCCGGAAAACGGCCTCTCAGACAAGCCTGAAGAAACCCCAACCGCGTTTCATGGACTCCCTGAAGTCGCCCAGTCTAGTGTACCAAAGGGCAGTACCCCGCAGTTTTGCAGCTTGCTGGAGTGTCCTCACAGAAGCCCTTCTAGTCGCCAGTGGAGCCAAGCCCCGAAACCCCTAAACCCTAAACTCTAACCGACTCTAACCCCTGAACCCTACACTAGGAACCCCAAAACCTCCCAAAAGCCCTTAATTCCTTAAACCACCCCTAAGCCCCTAAACCCTAGACTCTAAGCACTACGCGAAGCAGAGGCCACGACGGGGGCCTCCGGGGAGTCTCTGCAGTCCCCGGTGCAGAAGGCCTGCAAACGGTTCCATGTTTAGGGCTTTAGGGTTTGAAAGTCAGTTCCGGGTTTTGGGTTTTGGGTTTAGGGTTTAGGGTTTAGGGTTTAGGTTTCGGGAGTTCGAGTGTCAGAGTTTTTTGTTTCGTGTTCCACGGGTTTAAAAGTAACGTCTGGTAGTTTTCTCCGGGGTTTCTGTTTCAGTGGGTTTCTCTGAGGCTTCGAGTGCCAAAGCAGGGGTTGTACGGGGTCACTCAACTTTGTAGGGGTTTGGGTTTAGGGTTTTGGGAGTAGGGTAACTGTAGTATTTTTCTAATGACCTTTAAACCCAAACTAATCCACGTTTCTCCCTCATCTACGAAGTCCCCTGATCCTCCAAGTGCAACCTCGTTCGAGCAACCTCAAAGAACCGCGCTTCTGCACTGGAAAAGCCCAAAGCCCTCAAGCTCAAGCCACACGACAGATTCTAAGGGTTAACCCAAAACGGAACCCCTAAACCCTAAACCCTATAACCCTATATTCGCATGCCTACTCCTGCAAGCCAGCGCATCGTCTCGGCAGCCTTGGGGGATTTCAGCGCTACACCTGGGGACGTTTCCATCTTCCCGTGCTCAGGTGGTGCAGATGCTCCAGGCCATGTCCTCCAAGGGCAAGAAGGAGCTCCAGGAAGAGAAGGTTCAGTATGCCAGGCGCAGTCTGCTCTTTCAATCTTCGGGATGTTGGTAGAGCTCTCTCAGGACTCTTGGTGGGGCAAGCACGTAGTGAAAATCAATACTCGCGATGACAGCACAACCATGATATTGTAGGAACCTGATTAAGACACCCAAGGCCCATAACCCCGAAACAGTAGGATTCATAATGAGGAACCACAATAATCCCAAGGTTTCTTAGTCAGGTTCCTACATTATCAGTAAAGAGCAAACATCGAGGGATCTTAGAAAAATTGTGAAATTTGCTGGTTGACCAACCTTCGCCCCAGAGCCCTACATCCCAAAGGCGCTAAGCCCCAAATCCTAAGCAGCAGCGCGCAAAGGGACGACCCTGAACCCGAAACCCTAAACCCTAAACCCGAAACCCTCCACTCTTTCGTCAGATATGCCGAGTGGTGCAAAGGCACCGAGGAGGAGAAGTCCAAGGCCAACCAGGGAGCTGTTACTTGTAGGTTCATGGGGGTAGTTATTAGGGTTCCTTTAGGAGTCCCTTTAAGGGGATCTATAGGGATTCTATAAGGGTATAGGGTTTGGGGTCTACTTGGAGGTTCATGGGCTAGTTATAAGTGGGGTTAGAAGTTCCTAATATGGGTGAAATTTATGGTTACCCTACTTTATAACTCCACTTATAACTATCCATGAACCTTCAAGTAGAGTCAGAAGAGTCCTTTCTAATTATCTGTAGGACTGTAGGATTCCTATTAAGAAACCCTGGTCCTATAACCCCCAAATAGTAGGATTCGTAATATGAGGAACCCTAGTAACGGCCCAAGGTTTGTTAATCAGCTTCCTACATTAATCTGTAGGATTCCTATTGGGTTCTCTGGGGGTCCCATGTTTAGAGGACTCCTGCCTGCAGGATTCCCATGGAGTTCTACAAGGTCTCTAGGGGATGTCTAACAGATTCTATGCCGGTACTTTAGACTCTGGGGCTCCTAAGTAAAGTTGGATCGCAGGAGCTGAGGCACCGTCACTATTGATGGGATACTGGGGGCGTTGAGTTCCCATAGTAGCTATAACCGAAATCGTAGATGACTAGGAGCGACAATACTGGTTCTGACGGTGGAATCTCTCATAAGAACGCTACGGGAGAACTATGACAAAAAGACTGTCATGGTAAGGTTGACCCCTCGTGAATGAAGCTCCATGTAGTTGTGAGTGCTTGGGTGGCTGAGAAGTGCGGAAGTCGGCTAGTGAGATGTCGCCGTTGGTGGTTGCTTGGAGGGTCGGGGGACTTAGTAACTGGCTACTTTAGGGACTTATAAGTACCATAACCCCAATTAGGGCCCCTTTTAGGGTAGTTACTTATAAGTCTACTTACTACCTACTTACTTACCAAGTCCCTCGACCCTCCAAGTGTGAGGTCTCCGCTAACGAAGTGCGGAGAAAGATGGAGAAAGCAGAGCTTGCAAGACTCAGCGAAGCACACTCGTGAAGCAGGAGGCTTCCGTGCATAGCTCCCTTTTGAGATCTCAGTATGCTCAACCAAAAACCCTAAACCCCAAAGCCCGACAGCCCAAGCCCTAAACCAAAAGCATTGAAAACTAAACCCAAACCCTAGACGCCAAACACTAGGCCCAAAACCCCGAACCCAAGCCAAAACCTGAAATCCTAAACCCAAGCCCTAAACCCCAACTCCCCTAAACCCTAAACCGCTTTTGCTCGAGCCTAAAGCCGGCTTGAAAACGAGGCCATCGAGGCGTCAGACTCGAAGATCGAGGTGCTTTGCATCGCCTTTCTGTTGTTTCTCTTTGGGATCGGCTTCTGTTTTTGTTAAGAGTTTCTTTGAGGTTTTAAGGGTTAATTTGAGGTTCTTGGGTTTGTTTACTAGAGTTACTAGGGTACTATAAGGGTTTGGGGCTTTAGCTTCTTGGCCTTTCTGATTTTGTGTTTTTCCGCGTATCAGCAGGTCTTAGCAGCCTTGCGTGTTCGCCGTCCCAGATCAAGCGCAGCTTAAGCATTCAGCGAGCCGAGGATGGCTGCATGCTTCCAAGATTGAAGACTAATTGACAAAAATATCTTTGTTTCCTATAGAATACCACAATACACTCTAGTAATTCATAACATACCATAATATATTATAGTAGTCGTAGCAGGGGCTACTTGCTGGCGGCAGGAACGATAGTACAAGTCATTGTGGTAGTAGTGGTAGCGGCGGGGCTAGTGGTAGGGGGTGGTACCATAATCCACCATCGTCGGTTAGCACTAGCTGTCGGACCATCACCACCACCGTCATCATGCCTTTCACTATCATCACTACCATGTCCTTTCTCTTCTGTATCATCACCAGCATCATCATCACCATCATCATCATCAGCATCACCAGCATCATCAGCATCGTCATCATGCTTCTGGTCTAGTCATTGTCGTTTTGCTCATGTCCGCTGTTCTCATGATAAACAGCTTCAGGTTCTGACCGCCGACATCGGTAAGGCCGCCACGGACGCAGAGGTCTTGGGCAAGGACGCTCCCACAGCGCAGGTCGCAGCTTACTTGGAGGATCATGGGACTTAGTAAGTAAGGTTATAAGTACCTGAATTGGGGTTATAAGTATAGTTGCCCTAATTTTAACCCTAGTTACTAAGTCCCATGATCCTTTAAGTAGGCATAGGTTAATTCCTTAATTGTCTTTCAGCTCTTCCCTGCTACAGGCAGTTGTTCGGTTGTGGTCGGTCTTATCGCTTGCAGCATCAGCATTTTTTGTTGTCATTGCGCGATGTTCCCACTCTCGTTCTTTTGTCACACGTGTCACTGCGATTCGTACTGTCCAGCATCAGGGTGTTCATTGTTCACTGCCCGGCGCTCCCTCTGAGCGGCAGCAAAGTCTGAATTCCCCAACTTGTTCGGCGTGCTTAAAGGATCATGGGACTTAGTAACTAGGGTTATAATTTGGGTTACTTTTCTTATACCCCCAGTTGAGGTACTTATAACCTTACTTACTAAGTCCCATGATCCTCCAAGTGTTGGCCGTGCAGGAGATTGAGGGTCATGCTGCCGCAGCGGCGGAGCTCGCCGCACAGGAAAGCGAAGCTACCAAGGCACCGACGTCTGCGTTTTCCCAGGACCGGAGCACTGAGGAGCCATGAAGATTGAAAATGCAGCTAGGCTATGCACAAGCTTCCCTTGCAGCCATTGCCAGACAAAATTCGCGATAAGCTGATTTCATGCACCGATGGTTCACTACTGACAGCATACTCGGTATTATGGCTTGGCTCTGTGATCTGCTGTACTTGTCCTTGTGGTTGTTGTGTTCACTAAGTACATTGCCAAGATTTTCAGTCTGGTGGCTCGAGCTAAATGATGAATGATGTGTGAGATTGCATGCTCATGACGATGATCGAGAGTGGGCGATGTTATCATGGTGATGAAGGTTGGAACCTGGCCGTAGCGATTCTATTGTTAAAACCCTAAAATGAATGTACCCTAGACCCTAAACGCGAGCCACCTAAACCCTAATCCCTAAACCCTAGAAGTTTGCCAGGTCAGGGAGGACGAAGCCAAGGACTTTGTGGCGGAGCAGAAGGAGCGCAGCCTCATACATACCAAACCCCGAAAGACTACAGCTTTCGAACCTCTGAGCCCAATGATCTAAATCCCGCAGCCCAAAAGCCCTTAAACCCTGGGAGGGACGGTGGAAGAAAGGGAGCTTTGAAGAGCGGCCGGAAAATCGTGTAGGTTTTGTATCTCCTCACGTAGAGACGCACCCAGACCCTTAAAGCCCCAGACCCCGGAGCCCTCTGCAGAGAAACGTTGCTGGCAGGATTACGCGGAGTCCCTCGATGCCCTCGATCGGGCGATTGAGACTCTGGACAAGCAGGTGGGGGTGAAACCCTAGAAAGTCCGAAAGTGCTAAACCCAGAAGACCCTAAACCTGGAAGACCCTGAACACTGAAAGTCTTAAAGCCACAATAACCCCAAAAGCCCAACTCTGAGACACTCTTGCGTGGACCTAGGTTTCTTTCCACGAAGCTCCAACCCCAAACGCGATATTCTCCGGGCAGACTTCGAATTTGGTTAATAGGATCCCTAAAATCCCCAAAGCCATGAAATGGCTGTGGACAGCCCTAAGAATCCATTTCAAACCGTTACAAAATGTTCATAGACCTTCGTACAACCCTTATGTTTCAAACAGCTGAAAAAGATCCCAAACCCTAAACCCTTGCGTGCAGGACTACAGCCGACCCCAGGCCGGTGAGGCTCCCCACCCTGCGCGGCGATTTAGTATCACAAGCTTTTCGGTTTGGGTGTGTGCGAGTAAGGGTAACGTTTTGTAGGGGTTGTGTAGGGATGTGCCAGAGGCTAACGGAACTGCGGGGGATTAATCAGTTTTAGAGAGTTGTATAAGGTTTGGGTTTTTTGGGTTTTATGCAGGATTTATAGGGCTTCAAAGGGTGGTACAGGGTTTTCAAAGAATTCAAGGGTTGTAAGGGTTTAAAGGGTTTGAAGTTTCGGCTTCTGGGGTTGGGGGTTTCAGGGTAAAGAGTCTAGGATTCAGGCCTCAGGGCGGGGGTTGGGATTATGAGGTCACGGTGCAGGGCTGAGGACCAAGTTAAGGATTTACGATCGAAGCCTCAATAATTACCAGCAGTGTTTCTTGGCTTCCTTGTTACACATGTGCTACAGCATTCCCCTCAGTCAGACGCCCATACCAGCAGTTCCGGGCCTGTGGCTGCACCGCTAGGCCTTTGCCCAGTTTGCTGCTTCTCTCGGCGCTTCGCGGGGTGCGCAGGCCTGGGTTCAAGAATTCTGTCCGACATGTCTTCTTTGGGAGTTCATGATCTTGGCTTAGCAGTGATGCTCATAGCAATGCGAAAATATACTGAATCGTGAAGCAGAAGCAACTACAGCAACAACAACAATCGTGCTACTAAGAGTGCTAGCACTGCTGCTACTGCTACTATTGCCACCAGTAGCCATATTCATAGCCGTAATTTCACCAGTACTACAAATACCAGCTCGATACCACTAGTAATCATATTCATAGCCATTATTTTCAAAAGTATTACAAATACTAGGTTGATATGTGCTGACCCGACTCGGTCCAGGACATTCAAAAGCTGGTGCGGGCCCCGGGGCGGATTGGAGCGGCGAGTTCCAGCTCCTCCGGTTCTCAGAATTTCCAAGCCTCGGGATAATAATATTGAAAATAATAGCAGTAGTAGTAATTATAACGATAATAGTAGTATAGCAATAATAACTCGCATAGATACGAAATATCGGCCTTACGATTCGGGGGCAGAATCCCGGAGTTTGGGTTGCGCCTCCTCAACACCCACCTGCAATCCCTCCCTAGCGCCCCAAGCCCGAGCCCCCTCGTATTGCTGAGGCAGCTGGGGGAGCCCCGAAGGCCAAGGCCTACGTGGCCCGGCGGGGAATGGAAGAGAGAGAGTGGAGTCCCCAGAGACTCCAATATCTCTTAAGTAAGGAATATACCTTAAATCATAATAGGGATCCTACTATAGTTTAGGTATATTCCTTAATTAAGGGATATTGGAGTCTCTGAGTCCAAAGCACAGACATGCAGACAAACAAAACGTCGAGCTGGATGACCGAGAACCACAATCTCATGAGTCGTCTGATGGGACGTCAGGATGTCAGGACGATCGGTGGTGCTGGTGGTGGCGGGGTGGCGTCGTCCTAGAACATCGATTTCTGTCGAAAGTCCTGTTCCTCCGTAGGCCGTGATCTTGTTATTGTTATTGCACCCAAGCGCACTGCAAAAGGGCGATCGCCAACGATCAAATATGACGTCATGGCTTTCACAACATCGACGTCGGGGTGTGGGGAAACGTTGCCCCGGCCTTCACAAACGTACGTGCTCAGCTAGGTCGTAGGTTGGTGTGGGTGGGTGGGCAATGGCACGCTAGTGGTTGTCGTCATCGTAGTATGAGGAGGAGCAGCAGCTGCAGCAATGGGTGGCAGCGTCAGCAGCCCCCAGGATTTAGCCTGAAGTCCTAAGCCCTAAACTAAACCCTAAACCCTAAACTGAAGCCCTAAACCCCAAACCCAAGGATTTCCAGTCGGGCAACATTACGACGATGCTCAAGGCGCTGAAGACCAAGTTCTCTGAGGCCTGACCCGGAAGCCACCCGCCCAAGGGACTCAAAGTTTGAATCCGCAGTTCTGTATGCTGTTTCGTCATGAGCCATGTAGTATATAGATATAGTTTTTGGTTTTAGAAACATGACGGATAGATTATATAGTATATTGTATATAAAACATTATGTACAGTGCATAATATCTAGTATGCATATAGTGTGTAGTATTGGTATATGGAATCCAGAGCCACAGCAGACCTCACATGCAAAGCTTGAATCTTGAAGCAGGAGAAAGTGGCACTGGAGAAGGCTGAGGCGTTGCTGGACCGCAAGCAGCGAGGTTGAATGTTCAGGTCCTTGAACCAAACTCACGTAGTCCGAAACTAATATAGTAGAAGCCAGAAAGTTGGAACATGAGTATCCTCATGCCTCAAGGTAAAGTATAAGGGATTCCAGCACTAATCCTCCTAAGCCCATGTTCCAACTCTCTGGGATTCGCCATATTTGCAAGAGCTTGGACAGTACATGGGTTGCCTCCCCGTGCAGTATACACTGTAGTCTCTGTATGCTCGGTGGTGGCATGATATGCTTTGCTGAGGGCTTCACATGATCTCTGTGGTTTTTACTGATGAACCGTACGCAAATGAAGTCTATGTGGTTGTACAGGCTGTAGGCTCCAACTTGTCCCAGTTCCACAAGGCCCAAATCGCTTGTTTTCGAATGCCAGCCCAAGCTATTAAGCCTTGATGCCGAAAAACTCTGAACTCTGAACCCTACTACCGTGCCCCTCCGGAAACCCTGAAACCCCCCTGAACCTCCTAAACCCCAAGACCTAAACCCTGAACCCCAAACCCGAAACCGTAAACCCGAAACCCTAAGCTAACCCTAAACCCTAAGCCACGAGGTCCAAGGCCCACAGCCACGAGCTGATGGTCCAAAGCCTCAAGAGCCAGGCGGACGCCGAGAAGCAGGCTTCTCCAGCGCCCAAAGACTATAATTCCTGTATACCAACATGATAGTAGGATCCCTAATACGATTTAAGGTATACTCCTCAATTAAGGGATATGGGAGTCTCTGAGTGCTGCGGGGATGAGGAGGATGATGTTAAGAATAGAATAAGACATAATAGTGGTATTACTAGTCATAGTAGTAAGTAGTAGTATTGAGAAAGTAATAAGCAGAGCAAAGTTCCATACTATTGATGTTTTTTTATTGTATTTTACATTTGAGCATGATCATGATGAGGTTGGAGGCCGCACTTCGCTGATCAGGACGATGACAGGACGAAAAGAATGATGCTAACAGCAAGAGGCTTTGTGATGATGGTGATGAATGACTGTGATCATGAACGAAGCTGAGGTTGGGGACGAGTGCGAAGTTTGCTGGAACGGTTGCTGCGCCCATTGATTTCAGATGATGTTTGCTCCTTTGTTGTCGTGGTCCTGGTGGTTGTCGTCATCGTCATCGCCGTTGATGCTTCTGACGATGCATTCCTTCTTTTGCAGTTTTTCTTTGTGTTTCTGTTCGTTCTTCATAGTTGCCATTCGGAGTGGATTCGCGTTGGGGGCCTTGCACTAATGCCCGACAGCCATGCGCAAAGCAGAACGAAGACGGGGAGGATCCTTACATCCTAAACGGCTAAACTCCAGGTCCACTCCAGGTCCACCTAAACCAGACTTCTGCTGTGGAAAAACCCCGCCATCTACCACAAAAGCAACTTCCCTAAACTCTGATCCTGTAAAATCCCTGAGAGCGGAAGGATCAGTCCCGCAAAGCGACGCTAAAGAGCAAGAAGTTGGCTCTCAAGGCGTCCATGGAGGCGGACGATCTTTGGGTTCTTGGGCTCCAGCACTCCGTAGAGTGTGTTCGATATACTCGGCGCTCCGTAAAGTGAATATGGTGTACTCAATGTAATGCTCGCTCTCTCTCTCTCTCTCGCTGTCTTTCTCTCTCTCTCTCTCTCTGTCTCTCTCTCTCTCTCTGTCTGTCCGTCTGTCTGTGTATAGTCTGTGGAAAGAGAATTATACGTATTTCACATACCTGTAAAGAAGGATCGTGGTGTTTGTTGGTGTGTACCGTCGAGAAGTTAACGACTAATGCACTAGTGAGCGGAAAGTCCGTGTTTGCAGCTCAGCTACCCTAGCATGGGTTCCCTACACAAGTTCTAGTGGGCTCAAGTTCTCGATGCAAGTTGAATTTTTGGATTCGAGACGGCCGGGATTGGTTCTTCCCCGCATCTGACGCGACCCTTTTGTTTCCGTGCATCCGCAGGACGAGAAGAACACGGCTACCTCCTCGAAGGCCGCAGGGGACTGGGTCTCCTCATTTAGCAGTGGCTGGCTCGGTGGCTTCGGTTTTCCTGCAGTTGTCGGGACTCAAGTCTTGCCCCTAAACCCTAAACCATCCCCGGTGTAACTAAGGCTCTTTAGATCCTCCGCACCTTGGGGAGTCTGCGTGTCCAGGACGCCGACACCAAGTATCTCGACGTGCCGGCCTCGACCGGTGCACTTGACCCTTACATATTCCACACTGTACTACATATCAAATTTTTCTAAAATAGGACAAATACATACTGTACCACATTTTTTGATATTCCTTAAAGGCCTGGTGAAACTTGCTGAGAAGACCTCGCTTTGGCGTTCCGGAGCTCCTGTGGTGTTGTGCTGGTTTTCGGCAAACCCTAAACCCTAAACCCTAAACCGCCCTCAGTGCGTTCCTGTACAGGCGGACTTAGTGCAGGCCAGGATCGTAACGCACTAAAACAGAAAGCAGATCAAAACTCCAAACCGGTTGCAAGTGCCAAGGGAAGCGCAAAGATATACTATATATGGCTGGTGATACGCGTTCCTCTTCGAACATATTAAAAATGTTACATTAGATTAACTGACGTTGTACTGCTATTAGCATAAAGGGTGCTACTTAAAGGATCATGGGACTTAGTAACTAAGGTTATAACCAGGGTAGCTAAACTTATAACCCCAATTAAGGTACTCATAACCTTACTTACTCAGTCCCATGATCCTCCCATTATAGACCCCCTATGGATCCCTTTAAGGAGCCCTATTATAGAACCCTATAGTACCCTACAGAGGAACCCTCAACCTTACTTACTAAGTCCCATGATCCTCCCATTATAGACCCCCTATAGATCCCTTTAAGGAACCCTTATAGATCCCTTAAGGATCCCTTTAAGGAGCCCTATAGTACCCTTAAAGGAACTACTAAGTCCCATGATCCTCCGAGTATATCAGAGCGGCTGCCGAGGACGTGACCTCGACCTGCCGGCAGAAGGCGATGGCATGTACCATAGGGGCCTTAATGATTAGAATAGGGTTCTTTTAAAGGGATTCCTCAAGAGTTCTATAAGGGATCCATCATGTAGGGGCCTTAATGATTAGAATAGGGTTCTGGGGCCCATTATGCTGTAATTATGATAAGGAAGCCCCCAAAAATGGTATAGGTAATTATTTGGGCCCCTGGATTAGAATTATCGGGTTCAGGGGTGGGTTCTTTTAGGTTTCTACAAAGGTTGCCGTAAAGGGTTTACTTTCAGGGCTTGGGGTTCAGGGGTTCAGGGTGCAGGGATGGGGTTTTGAGGTTTAGGGTTCTCAAACTTGTGGTGTTTTCGAGGTTTTTTCAAGGTCAGGGCCTTTGCAGTTGAAGCAAGCTTTGGTGGACAGGGCCTGCCTCAAAAAGTGGTCGGAATAAAAATAGAACTAGTGCCGCCCGATAGTTACTGTACTTCTGATTCTAATCTCTTTTCAACATCTCGCAAATGCCTATGATTCAAGGTCCTATACTAGCCGCTGGCTGCCAGCAAGCCTCCACGCCCTCTTGGCACCCAATTTTTCGTCTCTGGCTCGGATCAAGAGGTACTACAGGCACCCATACTTCAAGCCCTTCCCAAACCCTCTAAAGCCCTCTGCAACCCTCACACCTAAACCCTAAACCCTAAACCCTAAACCCTTAACCCTAAACACCTAGATCCTAAAATCAATGGAGCTGCGAGGCCGCTGACTTCGAGTCCAACCAGAAAATTCGCAGCGAGGAGCTGCAGGCGCCTCTCGTTTCTGCTGCTGAGTGGGTGAGGGCGGGTTTCGAGGGCATACCAAGGAACCACCAAAATGGTATAATATGGGTAACTATTGATTAAAAGCCCCCATATTATACAGCTACAGTTTATGGCACCTTAGGTTTTCCGCTCTTTTGGATGTAGGATTTTCGAGTTCAAGGGCCGAAGGTACAGAGTTTGGGACCTTGGGTTCTGGGGGGATCCGTGCGTAAAAAAGGGGCCTTGATAATTACCTATACTCTCTTGGGGGTTCCTTCTTATAACTACAGCATAAAAAACCCAAAACCCTAATCTAGTTTTATTAAGGCCCATATATTACCTCAGTCTTATTATTATAACTATAGAAGAACCTACCCAAACTCCCAAGATTGTAATATTTAGGGCTTCGCTGCAAGCTCAGGGACGGGGCCAGGCTCTGGGGTTGAAGGATGCTTCAGCGAGCAGCCGAGGGCCTCCAGCGGAGGTCCAAAATCAGAACCTACCCGGGCAATAGCAGTAGAGCATAGTATAGTAGAGTCGAGTAGAGTAGAGAGTATAATAGAGTATAGCATAGTATAGCATAGCATGTCATGGACGACGATTATCTCTGGATAGGCAGAAATCACCCTCACATTCCAAGAGCCCGCACGGTCTTCGGATGCATGGAGTCAGGCTGTGCAGAAGGCTGTGACGGTCGTGCGCGGCACTGAGCATCGCGGGTCTTTTGCGAAAGCTCGCGGACCTGAGTCTTGAGGTCTTTGCTTGAGGCCTGACTTTGGGGCCTTAGTAACTACCTATGGTATTTTGGGAGGCTCCTTCTTGTAATTACAGTATACCATACCCCAAAGCCCTGTTCGAGTTATTAAGGCCCCTTTGTTGCCTGAAGCAAAGAAAGACCAACCATCCTAACTTGGAGGATCATGGGACTCAGTAAGTAAGGTTACGCGTACCCTAATTGGGGTTATAAGTACACTTACCCTAATTATTACCCTAGTTACTAAGTCCCATGATCCTTTAAGTAGAGCCTAAACCCCAAACCCTATAGATCCCTTTAAGGAGCCCGTTAAGGAACCCTATAGTTCCTAAGTCCCATGATCCTTTCAGAAGCCCTCGTCTCCCAGCTCCTCGGCCCGGCAAGGTCTCAGAAGTTGTCTCTGCTGGACGTGAAGTGGAGGAGCCTCCTCCAGGCGGCGCAAGGAAGTAACAAAAAGGGGCCTTAACAATAAATTAGAACGGGGTTTGGGGGATATATCTTGCGATGAATTGCAATAAGGAGCCCCCGAAAACGCTAAGCCAGTTTTCAGCCAAGGTCCGAAGCTGAAGAGTCCTGCGCTTTTAGTTGCAAGCATTCTCTCCAGCACTAGCACTTCTTGCACTTTCGCGACGACGACGACACGGCCACGACCACCACCCATGCGGCGAGAACGAGGCAGGACGGGGACGAGGACAAGGACGGCGCGGAGGAAGATGACGACGCCTTCGTGACGAGGAAGTAGCACGGCGCAAACACCTATCTAGCGACCTCTTCTTGTTGCTTCCAGAACGACTGATGGTGCTTCCAACAATCCGAACAGACACGGAAGCAACATGTCAATGTCAAGGACTGTATTGTAAAAGCAACATCTGCCAGCTTGCCAGGTGAAGCGAAAGCAGGCCGGTGTGCTGCTCACGCTGCTTTTGCATGTCTTGGTTGAGTTTTTACGGAAGGCTAGCTTATACGTCCCCTACCATGGGTTATAACCCTGGCTACCCTACTTATAGCCCCACTTATAGCTACCCGTGAACCTCCAAGAAAGGCTTCGCCCGACTTTATCTGCGAGCCTGAGTCAGCGTAAGTACTTGCCCAAGAGACTCTGGAAGTGGTCGAACATTTGTGTTTTGTAATATGTCGAGGTTAGGACGATCTGGGCGTTTCCGAAAATTGGGGACCCTAATACAGTACCCAAAATATTAGGATCCTTATTATAAGGACACCAAAATATGGCACCCCCAATTTTCGGAAACTCGCATATTGTAGGGTACAAGCGTATGAGAGATGGTCTTATACGACTAGTACACTAAACTAAGTATCTATTATGTTCTACTATGCTAGACTTTACTATACTCTATTACATTGCGTGCTGCTCCTATAATGGCATTTAACGTAGACCAACTCCTGTAAGTAAGCGGGCACGGATCTGCGAGGGCTCCTCCTTGGCCGCGCTCCGCCGCCCCGGCACCGACGTGCTGAAGGCGGGTATGACTAGGGATTCGGGGGGATGGGGGGGGAGGGTTTTCGGCTTTGACGTCCCTGGTTAGGGTTCGAGTTCAGGGTATGAGGGTGTTTGGGGCATCGAGTTTTGCACATTTTGGCTTTCTCGTCTTTGGGTATAGGAAGTTGGCGGTTTCGGGATTACCTAACATAGGCAGCCCTCTGGCTAACTTAAACATCCTACAGCCCCTCAGCCTTAAACCCTAAAGCCCCAAGAAGCCCGCTGTCGTGAGCCCTACAGCCTGGACCCATCTAGACCCTAAACAGCCTAAACCACGAACCCCGCTTTGGTATCCGTATAGTGCCCCCTGACTATGTACCCATAAAGGAGATCTTTGAACCCCCTCGACCCTGAACCCTAAACCCCTGAACCCTTCTGACCTTAACTGCAAGGCGGAAAAAGCCCCTTACAAAAAACCCTGAACCCTAAATTGTAAAGCCCTCAACCCTAAGACAGCCTTGCCATCAGGCGAAGGTGGTGCCCTTCCTCGCAAAGGAAGCGCAGCGCCTCCACAGCGCAGTGCGGCGCCCGAAGGGGGCTCCTGCTGTCTTGTATTATTCTCTAGTATTATACATAATACAACGTGCAAGAATGTGCCAGAATAGGATACAGGAAAAGATAAGGCAAGATAAGATATGAGAGGACACGGGAGGATGAGGATGTTAAAGTAGAAAACAACACAAGATATTACATGATAGTACAAGAAATTCGGGTATCATGAGGTTATATACGAGAATGAGAATACGTGTGGCCATAAGAGAATAATTAGTCCTTATTATGGGAGATCACCAGGGAGTAGATGAGACTATTGATTTGAGATAACGCAAGAGGATATGAGATAATATGGGATATTCGAAGTGATAAAACAAGATAGTACCATATGGCATAGATTAGTGGACAAGAAACACAGAGGGAACGGAATAGAGTAGAGTATAGTACAGCATCATATAGTAAAATGCTAACATAGAAGACATAGTTTAGTGCAACGTTTGTACACAACAATCTATCATAACTTAATAAAGTACAACACATACAACCTAAGTACGTTAGCATCACGCCCGTGGTGATGATAACGTTGATGATAGTGTTGTTGTTTTGTTGGTGACGATCATGAACAACTATCACGACGTTCATCGCCAACACCATCATCGGAATTTGGATGTAGTTGTATTAGGGGCGACTACGGCTTTCATCCGTGATACAAGCACCCGGAATCTGTCGCTCTCTCTTTTATCATCGCTCTCACCCTCCAGTAGCGATTCCGTGAGCTCTACTACGCCAGATTACCCCATGCAAAGGGAGCCGCAAGGCTTCAAGCAGGGTTTACAGTTTGGGAAGAGCCCCGGGCCCCAAACTCGGCTTCTCTGCGAACACGTGGGGCCACACACGTGGAGCCACCGCAGAGGCAGGAGAGTTGGAAAATCGCTAGAGCTGTTGTAGAGCGCCGTAAGCACTAGAGTGTCGACCAGCTTTACGTCCAACAAAACCCAAAACCCTCCCGGCCCGAACCCTCGCCAAAGCCACATCCTGTGAGAGGCTCTTCTCAACTTGGTCCAGCCTGCGGAGAGCGGATCTCTCGATGGGGTGAAGCAGGGCGCCCAGCCAGCCCACATGAGAGCTTCAGGGTTTGGGGATGCAGCGGTGTACACTTGTGCTGAAGATTTGAATGTCAAGGGTTCTCAAACAGTTTGATGATGCGGATGGTTGTTATGACGAGTGTTACTACTTGACAGGTGAGCGAGGCTAATATGAATATGTTTTGATTGGCACCCCAAGTTCCCCCGCGCCCTCGACCAATCTCAACTCCTTCCACCACATTCCCAATGCCAATATCCCAGCTCGAAGTGGCACTCCCGACTACCACCCGGCCGGAGCCGAAAGCCATGTGGCTCCTTGTGAGTCGCAGAAAGATAGGCAGGCCTCAGGCCCTCGAAACTGTGAGTCTTTGAGACCCTTGCATTCCTGAGCCTCAAGCTCCTCTCACCTTTCAGGGACATGGTCGAGGGCATGATCACCAAGCTGTCCAAGGAGGTGAGGTCTAAACCCTAAACCCTAAACCCCTAAACCCTAAATCCTAGAGTCGGGTGACCGAAGCCGCTGGAAAGTGCCTGGTCGGAGAGTTAGAACAGACCCTAAGGCCCTAAACCCTAGTTCCTCAAGCCCGAGCCCTTAAACTGAATTTACAGCCCCTCAAGATTTGAGCCGACGGAGACAGAGACTCCAAAGCCTCCTAATTAAGGCAAATATCCCTAACACGATTGGGAGGTCCACATTAGGATTTCAGGGATACTCCTTCATTCAGAATTCTTATGTTTTTTGGATCCTCGGTATGATTTAGGGGCTGTTCCTTAATATATATATATATACATATATATATATATATATATATGTATGTATGTATGTATGTATGTATGTATATAAATATATACATATTCTTTAATTCTTGGAGTCCGTGGGGAGGTCGCGACCGACTCCGAGCAGCAGACCTGGTGTACTTCCGAGCTCAAGTCCAACAAGAAGACGCGGAGGTCTCCTCCATGGGTTACTTGGAGGTTCATGGGTAGTTACAAGTGGGGTTATAAGTAGGGTAACCATAGGTAACCATAATTATAACCCATATAAAGGGACTTATAACCCCCACTTATAACTACCCATGAACCTTCAAGTAGTTGAGTTGCCTAGGGTTTAGGCAGCTGGGTTTGAGCTTTTAGAAGACGTAAGAGGCACTGCGAGGGCCTAGGGTGCACGAAGACAGTCGCGGATTACGGAGCCATATCGAAAATGATCGGGGTTGGGGGCTTCATGGGTTTAGGATGTTGGGGGCTTCATGGGTTGAGGATGGTTGGGGGCTTCATGGGTTTAGGATGGGTTCTGGTGTAGACAAGTAGCAAGCGCGGTGTGCACAAAAAAAAGCCGGCAACCCCCCCCACAATCCGGCATCTCCGACACCTCAGCCCTGTCCTCGAGCTTCTAGTCGCATGACAACCCTTAAGCCTTTGTTTCCGCGACATCCTCACCACTCCTGCAGCCAGAGCCCCAACATTGGGGCGGCCCTTGGTGGCCTGGGGGTTTAAACAGACCCCTCATGCCCTGTGGAAGAAGAGACAGACAGAGAGAGAGAGAGAGAGAGAGATGGACGCAACACGAGTATCATATGCATATTTATACACACATCTGTACAATGTATATCTACATGATATGATCACATACCCATGTACTTACTTGGCTGCTGAACTACTGGTTTGTTTGTTGCTCTTAAGTCACCGTCCTTGCGAGTACGACTCGAATGGTCAGCTCCTCACACCTGGCCTGCTGCAGTGCGAAGACGATCCTGGTCGACGAGCTGAATGCCGACATCGACCGGCTGCTTGTCTCGGGCGAAGGGTTCGGGGTTTATCTCGTGATCTTCCCTGGGGCCCGGGTCTTTCCTCAGCAAGACTTGCTGGGAGTTCGAGATGTTCATGGAAATCGCTCGAACTTGAACCAGCACCCAAGAGACTGCTGGGAGTCGTGGTGTTGTTCTAATGGTGACAGTCTTGGTGGTGGTCCATGTTACTGTGATTGCGGTGATGATTCGTGAACCGTACGCTCTCAAGGTATGCATTAAGTGTTGCCGCGGCTGGCTTTGAACAGATCATAACATCGTGGTTGTCTTGCTGCAGCTTCGAAGGAAGGGCGCTGCAACCTACGATCTGCAATCCGCGGTGCCCACATCCTCAAACCCCCAACTGCTAAAGCCCGTGAACCTAAGCCTTAAGCTCCACATCAACAGCCCCAAAGGCCCCTCCGAACTTTGCAGCTGACGGGTTGGAAGCAAACCCTGAACCCCCAAAGCCCTACCCCTAAACCCGAAAAAGCCTTACAACCTAAGACCTTGAACCCCAAAAACCCTAAGAGACCCTAAAGCCGCTAAGACACCCGCGAGGCCGAAGAAACCCAAAGAAATACTGAACAAACCCCAAGGAACCGATCCGCACAACCCCCTAAGAAACCTACAGAAACTTTAAGAACCCCTACGAAACCTTCAGAATCCCCCAAAAAACCTTGAGAATGCCGCAAGAGAGCCTAAGAATCCCTTAACATATCCTAGAAATCCTCAGAACTTTTTCAGAGCCGCCTAAATCCTAAGCCCTCAACCCCAAGCCCTAAAAGCCCTAAAAGCCCTGAGGCTCAATGCCTCACTCATCTCCTTGGGCGAGGAGCGCTCCGCTCCGGGGGGTCTTGAAAGGGTACTTACAGGGTCCTATAGTGGGTCCCCTTAGGCCTCAAAGAGTCCTCCCTTTAAAGGGGACTCCATGGTCCCACGGTCCGGTCCCTTTAAAGGGCACCACAGAAGGGTTTAGGGTTTGGGGTTTCGCGTCCCACCCGCGCCCTCCCACACCCCTGCGGCCTCACAGGGCCTTCCAGGACCCCTTTTAGGGGCCTCCCAGGGGGCCTCCCAGCAACCTCCGAGGGGCTTCGGAGGGGCCTCCGACGGCCTTCTCAGACCACATTCCGCAGTCCTCTTTAAAGCGTGATAGAGGGTCCTGTAGGATCCTTTAAAGGGTACTTCAGGGTCCTACCGTCGAGTCCAATTTAAAGGGTGCTACCAGGGTCCTACTACAGGGTCTCCTTTAAGCTGTATGTGTAGCATCTCACAGGCGGGCATTTCGCGCGCGTGTGGTTGCCCTAACAAAAGAGCTTCAGACCCGCCCTTACTTGCATGCTGCCAGGATCCTGGGCTCCTTGAGTCCCGAGCTTCAAGCCTTAATGTAGGAACCTGATGAAGAAACCCTGGGCATATAACCCCAAAATAGTAGCATTCATATAAGGAACCCTAATAAAGGGACCTATAACCCCAAAATCGTAGCATTCATATAAGGGTCCCTAAGTAAAGGCCCAAGGTTTCTCAATCAGGTTCCTACATGAGCGCAGCAAGAGTGCTGCCAGGACATCGTCACCATGGGAGAGGAGCTCCTGCAGCTGGACAAGGCAGCCCCGCAAATGTGGGTCATGGTATAATGCAAGATGGTTTCACGCAGTAGAGTCGAATAGGGCATCATGATGTAGCCTCGTGCTATGTGGGAGCTTTCGTTTTTGTAAGTGTTTTAGATGCTGGAACGGCAATGTCTCAAGAGAGATTCCCTCAGCTGCAAGTGGACCAAAGTTTTCAACATGATGGCAAGTTTCTGCATGTCCCACGAGTGCGCGATGTCAAAGAACCGCCGCAGATGTGCAGCAAACTCGAGCACACATCAAGGCAAGTGGGGAGCCCCCGCGAGCCTTGGCAGGGCCCTAAACGCTAAACCCTAAGCAGACCTGTAGGATCTGGTACCCTAAACCCTATACCCTAAAGACCCTAAGCACCGGTGGGGCCATGGAGTGCAAGTCCAGACCTCTCCGGAAGCTGCTAGCGCAGCTACTGGGCTTTGGAGTACCATACTTTCATCATTTTTTGGGACCTAAAGCTCAAAGTGAACCATCGTGAAAGAAGAGCCTATACTTTTTTCTCCCTGGTTCAAAGCCCAGGCTCAGTGCGCAGGAGGAGAGCTTTAACCATTTCGTCTCGGCGGAGGCTCTTCGCCAAACCCTAAACCCTACTTCGACCCCAAGACACCTTCCGTTTTTAGAGTTCTTTAGTTTAATATGATTTCTGTATTTCTTTGCATAGGTCCCAAAGAAGGTAGGATAGGGTTAAGGTAGATCCTACAACCCTGAACCCTAAACCCTAAACTCTCAATCCCAAACCCTAAAATCCCAGCAGGCTCTGCACCCTACCCTAAACTCTCAGCCGCAAGCCCTAAATCCTAAGCTCTGAAACCCCATGGCCCTATGCAAGCTCAGATGGTCGGCAGACATAATAAGGAGCTCAACGAAGAAAAGCCCCAAACCCTGAAACCCTGAACCCTAAACCCTGCAACCTCGTACCGGGCCGGACCCTTGGACGCAAGGAAAAGGGCATTGCATTTAAAAAAAAAGCCCTGAACCCCTGAACCCTGGAGGCTTTGCCCTTCGAGGCAGAGCTGAAGTCTTGCGCCTCGGAGCTGTCGGCGCACGCGGCGGCGGGTGAAGCGCTAGACTTTCGCCGGTGCCGGACCACGCTGGTCTCCTACCTGAAACTCGGAGAATCTGGTATCCTACTCTGGTTCTGCTCTTTAACTATCTAACCACTGATATTGGGGGAGCTAAGGAGCCAGGGATGATGATCATCCCTATTAGCGGAGCTAAAGAGCCAAAGGAACCCCAAAACCACTGGTTAGTAGAGAATCTGGTGTTCTACTCTGGTTCTGCCTTTCTTACCTATAGCAGATACTATAGCATTATGTTATTCAGTCTCGTTATACTCTGTTCGATGATTTTTAAGGCCTCTTTTGAGAGGCACATCATCTTGATCCCCAGATTCGCCCTCTCCCCTGGCACTTGCGCTTCGAACCTCAGAGAATGAAGTAGGACCGACATCTAAAGCCTTGAACTCCGAAACTAGAAACCCTACGAGCCTCGTAGAGCCATTCGAAAGATCCTTCTGAATCCCTAAAACGCTTTACAGTCAGAAACCTTCGTAGAATACTTGTAGACATCCTCATAGACACATAGTGTGTGACATCATATCATACCCTGTTACATTACACATTACAGCCAACTTTTTTTTCTGAATACATTGTTGAGCAAGCCGAGGAAGGAGCTTCTAAGACGGACCTTTGCCGCGCCCGTGGACGGGAAGACGCGAGCGCAGGCGCTGCTGCTCCTCATCGATATGTCTGTGAGCCATCCTGAGGCCGATTTGGGGCTTAGGGGCTTAGGGCTCAGGGTTCAGGGTTTGGGATTGGTTTAGGGTTCGGGGTTTAGGGTTTGGGATTGGCTGAGGGTTTAGGGTTCAGGGCTTGGGGTTTGGTTTACGGGCCCAGGGTTTAGGGTTTGGGATGAAGGGTTTAGGCTTCGGGGTATAGAGGCCGCCGCAGTTGTTGAAGAGGTGGGCGCGAGGGGTTTAGGGTTCAGGGGTAGTTAGGCTTTTCGAGCCCGTAACGGTTTGGAACGTCTGAACGACAGGGTACACGAGGCTTTGAGGCTCCGTGAGAAAAGGTGGCAAGATTGGTCGCCGTTGTCGTAGCCATACGCAGAAGTTATGTACTAACCGTTACAGAAGCCTTAGGATGAGCATGAACTCGCAAACACTGCCTTCTCCCCAACACCATGAAGCCCGAACTGCGCGAGGCTGCCTACTTAGTCGCCGAGTCTGGGCTCTTTGTGAAGGCCATGTGCAGCAACCTGGAGTGCGAAGATCAGCCTCAGCAGGGGCTGCTGCTCCTTACAGTGTGCCTGGCAGCCTGCGTGGCGCACCAGGTACCCGAGTCTCAGAGCTTCCACAGTTTCCTGACGCTTTTGGTGGACCTGGCCTGCGACTATGGCTCCTTCAAGCCCTTCCGGCCCCTGCAGATCCACGCGGTGGAGGCTCTGGTCCACCTCTGCTACAGCCGTGCCTCCCGGCAGCTGCTGAGCCAAGAGCTCTGCTCTCTGAAAGTGGAGTCTTTGCTGCGGGCCGCCCGCTACAGGTCGCAAGACGGTGCGCCGGTTCGGCAGCACACCTTCCTGGTCTGCTTGCTCTTAGCAAATCTCTGCGATCTGCCCATGGCCGTGGATCCCGGGATGAGCCCCGCAAGCTTTGGCTACGTGGGCTTCGCTGCGCTTTGGGCCCCGGAAGACTTCTTCGTCTCCTTGGCCACAGCTTTGGCGGCCGCTGCGCGCGGCGAGCCGTGGCCGCCGGAGACGGAGTTGATCTGGCCTTGCTGGAAGCTCGTGCACACGGTGGAGCGGCTCTCGCGCCACGGCTACGCCGCAGAGCTGCGACTCTGCGCCACTCCTCTCATGACCGTTGTGGCCCGGACGCGCAGCCAGAAGGCTCCAGAGCACCCCGTGCGCATCGTGCGCCTCGCCTCGGAGGCTCTTCGGGCGATTGCCTCTGCTTCTAACGACAGCGAGGCCTTACGCCGTGAGGCGAGGTTCACGATCCACTTCGTGGAGACTCTGAAAGAGCACTCCGAAGAGATGCCTGCCGCCGAAGACTTGCTGAATTTCTTCTTGGATCACCGAGACCCGCTCCCCTACCTCATGCATGCGGACCTGGTCAGCGCTTAAATTCCAGCGCTGCGGCCGCCCTAGCGCTCCTGTGCAGAAGAACTGCGCCGGGAGCCCTCTTCTGGACCGCCAAGAAGCCGTCGCAGGAAGAAAGCAAGCGACTGCAGGCACCAAAGAAAGAACGGTGATGCTGATTTGGGCTTCCGTCCCTGGAGCTTTTAATGGGAGGCAACGTCATTTGATGCTTAAGGCATGCCAGCGTGGCTCGCATTTTCGGCTTGTAGAAAGTATGCCCAAGAGACTCACGCTGACTCTTGCAGGACCACGTCAAAACTCCAAGGATGTTCCCAAGGTTTTGCAAGCTCAGAGTCCCTACAACGGAAGCGGACGGACCCTGCACTGAGCAGCAAAGTCACAGAAACCGGCCAAGACCATGATTCATGCTCGCCACTGTAATTAGTAGGTCCTATTGCGTTTCTATGTATAATTAGATAGAGAGTGCGCATACACTTTAATACATATACCTTTACATGTATGTGGATGTTGTTACGCCCACATGCGCACGATCTACACGCCGCTGGCGCATTGACCTGAGCTCCCCCTAACTTCCGCCTCGGCCATGATGCGCCGCAGCCGATTCGGGACGGCGCTTGCCCTGCTGGGAGGTGCTTAAAGGATCATGGAACTTAGTAACTAGGGTTATAGTTCGGGTAACTATACTTAGAACCCCAATTAAGGTACTAACCTTCCTTACTAAGTCCCATGATCCTTCAAGTGCTATCGCAAGGAGTGTCGGGTTCTATGAGTTCGTGGTTTGGGTTGGGTTTGGGTTGTGGGGTTTTGGTTTCCTGTTGTCTTGTAGTTCGTTTGGTAAGGTTTAGATTGGTTTCGACATCAACGTGTGTGGTTGTTTCGATTCTTACAGTTTTTTCTTTCGTCCTTTGCAAGCTTGAGGCGGACTTCTGCAAGAAGCCGACACTCGATGCGAACGGACTGCGATGCCTTGTCAAGTTCCAAGGTGTCACTATAAGAGCTGTGAGCAAGACCGTGTAAAGTGCAAGGGAAGGGGGCACGCCACGCGTCCCTCGTCTCTAGGAGTAGGCTTGTGGTAGTGCTACGCACACCGCAATGCCTATCCATCCTTTCAGTATGACCGCCCATGCAACGTTTGGCTCAAGAATGAGCACAAGCTCTAGAAAGCATTGCCCATAGCTAAAGTGCTATAATCTTCTGTGATTCTCCGAGTAGACAGAGCTATCCCGTGCACAGACGATCCACCGCCGGCTCAAGTGTGCAAAACGAGCGAACGTTGGATCTGCCTGCATAGGAGTGCGTGTGTGGAAGTGGAAGTAACGGTGATCCAGCTTGTAGAAGGCAACCACGCCAACAGTCAATACAGCTCTTTGTGGGGTGAGCGACAGAGAACATTACCAGGATCAAATCCCCACGCAGGTTATCAGCCGTACGCGGCTCTGCCTTTCTGCAGCAAAGACTACTTGATCTACTACGACCACAATGAACTCGGGATCAAGTCAAGATACGACAATGACTTTCGGTGCCGATGTGGCAGCGCCAGCCGTTGGTGAGTCAACAGCTGATGACACAGTGGTGCAATCCGTTGATAGCTCCACGGAAGATGACAAAGGTCAATCTTCTGCGCTTGCCATTGCAAAGGCAGTTCCCAAAGCGAAAGCAAAGAGTCTACCAAGAGCATCCACGCCTTCGCGTCCAACATCCACAGGTTCGAGGACGAGCAAGGCTCCAGAACGACGATCCGAAGCGTCTGGTTTTCAGGCACCTCGGACCCCGTCGAGGGCAAAGGACAAGGGAGTGAAGACTTTGGAAAAGAAGCCGCGACCATCATCTTCAAGAAGCTCTTCAGCACGATCAAGGACTTCGGCCACTCGTGGACGTGACAAGTCCATGACGTGGAATCGAATGGTTACCAA